GTCAAACTTAAGATTTTGACTTGGGAAATGACTACATAAATTCTATTGTAACTTATATGAATTAGGGGAGTAAAAGGCAATTTCAATAATTTGTGGATTGACTTATAAATACAAAAGATCTGAGGGACCAATATCTAAAATGCTCTTTTAGAATTTACTTTAGTGGTAAATTTTGAGAGTTTTGCTGACTTAGGGATTAGATGTGTGGTTGAATGCTGTGATTGGTCGAAGGGTAAACCAAAGTTGGGGCATTTGCAAGAGGCAGCTCGCGATATGAGGTGAGTTTTTATTTTTCTCTTCCAGATTGTGGCCTATCAGTTTTAGTTTAAGTTGATTATACTGAATGTAGTGTCAAGTGTTACTTGTGTTTTCATATTATTCCTTTTTCTCCCCTTGAATTGTTCACATGATTTCATTTCATGCTGAAGTTTTTGAGGTTATTGTTGAGAATTAGTTTTCTTCATAATCTCTGGTACGATAGTTGACTATTGTTATTGGTCAACCACTAGACAAATACGCTATCAGAGGAAAAATCTTTGACAATAACTTGCAAAGTTTGTGAAAGGACTAATACAAATTAAATGACTTGAAATGGAGTTCAAATTGCATGTGAAAAATCTGGGATTTGCCTATTTGACTTCTCTTGTGCTGTCATTATTCCCTGTTGTCCTTCATGAGCTTTCCACCGGTCAATAACACCACGATATGTGCATGTTTCTGTGAATATCGGTATTTACCCAACAGAAGTTGATAATGAAGTTATAAAATTTAAGTATAGTTATTTCTTCAATCGCTGTTTTTACATTTGAATCGAATGGATCATTTTGGTTATAATGATGTGGTTTAGTAACTACTAATGTTGTGTAAAACAAGAAAGCAAACATGTTAAACTGTGCTTTTTTAACTCATTTCTATTAGACTATAGTCTTAAATGCTCATACCTTCGTCTTTTTAAATTTTGTTTTCAAACTATCAGAATGTGCATGATTGATACACAGAACATACAACTACAGCGCATAACTTTGTGTTGTTTGGAACATTTCAGAAAGAAATATCACAATAAGTACAAAATAAAGAAACTGCCAGGCTAAGTATATGTAAAACATGAAAGCCGAGGAATGCCTACATGGGCATTGATTACGTAAGTTGCATGAGTTGAAAAAGCCATGAAATAATAGATCAAGTAGTGTAGACATGTGAAGGAGTTCTCTGTCCTTAAATGAAGAAGGCTCAAACTTTTGATAAACAGAAAAGTTGAGTGGTGAAGTAGCGAGTTAAATGGATGGTTGTAGGTAAAGGAGTTGGAAAAGCTAAGAAGGAGCTGACTTGAAATTGTTGAAATGGTTTGGAGGAATATTTAATCTAACGTCAATTGATTTTTAAGGAAGTTATTGGAGAAGCTTTGAGGGAGCTGGCATCAAATATTGTGATTTATGTCTGTTTATCTGCATGTGCTCACACATTTAAATACTAACATAAGCTATTATGAAGTTTAGCTTGTAAAGTATACCTTCAATTATAGAATGGGTATATCTTGAAACGTCACATGTATTGTGTTTATGTTCCTTCTAAACCCCATGATTTATGCATAGTTTTCGTCTTCTAAAAAATGAAATTGTTGAAATGGTTTGGAGGAATATTTAATCTAACATCAATTGATTTTTAAGGAAGTTATTGGAGAAGCTTTGAGGGAGCTGGCATCAAATATTGTGATTTATGTCTGTTTATCTGCATGTGCTCACACATTTAAATACTAACATAAGCTATTATGAAGTTTAGCTTGTAAAGTATACCTTCAATTATAGAATGGGTATATCTTGAAACGTCACATGTATTGTGTTTATGTTCCTTCTAAACCCCATGATTTATGCATAGCTTTTCGCCTTCTAAAAATGGACTTTGTTCAGTTTTTATAACAGGGGAGCTGCTTATCTCAGCATACAGAACACGTAAAACAGAATTCTTGCAGTTGTTTCTCATAACACAGTTCCTGTAAATGATTAGAATTCCAGCAGATTATGATTTTTTTCTATATTCGTGAGTGCCATATATTTTAGTGGTGCAATTCTTACAATTGAAAATTTTACTCACTCTATTCTTGCTAGGCAATAAATGTCAGACTCCTAGTAATATTTTCGGTACTCTATTGATCACTGGTTAAGTGGAAATTAACCGAGTCATGCTGATTGGTGAAGGTTAATTTTTTTTACTTTCGAGAAAATATATCGTTTGCTTGTAGCATATTCAACCTTTGCTTGTAGAATTAGTTCTGGTGCATCCTTTTGATATGATTCTTATTTGATAGATGTGTAGTCTCTGAGGATCTGGCTGATGGGAAATTCAGTAGTTGTCTAAGATGACAATATTTTCTAGCATACTTCCCAGATTACATTTTGTTTAAAGCTATTACACGTTATATAAGCGGCAACAATGTTGTTTGTTTCCTCTTAAGTGTTTTAATGCCTCTTGTCAGTTCTTCGTACAAATTACTAAGGAATATCATAATTGATGTACTCTACTATTATCAAAATATGAAATTGTTATTCGTTTCTGCTGCAATCTCTTTTCAAAATACTCTATAAATTTTACATTCCTAGATTTAATAAGCATTCAAACATTGACAAAGTTGGTCTATCTTTGTTCCGGACTTGTGACTCTAGCCGATCATTGCTTTCAGGTATCGAATATTCCAGCGTGTTTGCATGGAACAACAGATAGGAGTCTTGCTTATTGCACATCATGCTGATGATCAGGTTTTGATCAACTAATTTCCATACACGAGTACGATTTTACTTTGCATATATGTGGTTGCGCCTGCACCTTTTTGTGTTTCTTTTTAACTTCTTATCTATCTTGGATGTCATTAGAGCCTCCATTCCTTCAGATGAATTTTGTAAGGATTTTTAATCATGGCATAACTGGACATCCTTGCAAATTTGTTTAGACTTTTAATTTTTCTTTTTCTCCCTTAGGCTGGCTTGGCACTTTTTTTTAGTAAGAGTTTAGTAAATGCTGGTTTCTGCTTGCTACTTTATTTGTTATGTATAACCCAGGGCGGTTTTTTTGGGTGGGTGGCTGTTGGAGTGAACATATCAATATCGTTTCATTATGATCACAGGGTCCAAAATTATGAAATCACAGTTGAACATACAAGAGCGAATGGAGATGAAAATCTCGATATGGACTATTGAGTTTCCAATGGCTTCAAGGACGATGACTGGAGAACTCAAACCATTTAAAAATTAGGGGTTCAATCAGTCTTTCATCTTCTTTGAAAAAATTAGAAAGGGACAAGTCAGGTTTTTAGATTGAAGGATTTTTGCATAGCTGAAATCTAAATTGAGAAGATTTACATGTGAGCAAGTTCCTTCGATGCTTTATCTTAAACTGTCTAAGGTTTATTATATTTCTGAATGGGGAATACATATGTGGAAAACTTACACTTATGCTTTACATAATAGGGATTGAGAAGTAGATAATGAGATGTCTTATTTTTCTATATGTTTGAGCAAGGCTGTTAGGAGAATCTCTCT